TGGGAGCCTGACCTTTGCCACTTGTTTACTTTCTGGCTCTGAAGCTCTGGCCTTAGATCACGTGGACGTCCTCCTGAGAGGCCCAGGTTGTGCCTCAGCCTGTCCGTCACAGAGAGGAGGTGGCTGTGCCACGCGGAGCTGGGGCTGCGCAGTGCCAGGTCACACGTCTGGAGAGTCCCGGGGCTGCTTCTTGGCACACTGTCTTTGCACGAATGAATTGAGCACAGTTGTGTGTGAAATTGTAATGTGAGATTCCTTAGAAAAGAGCTTGGTAAAGTTTGAATGTGAATCAGAAAGTGTCATAAATTAGACTTTAAATTAGGATTTAGGTCAAAATCTCAGGCTGACATTTAAATACCAAGTCAATATAGTTGTTCATGATGTTATCAACAAACATTTAAAATTTTAATTATTTGATTGATGCTCTGACTGTTAAAAAAATAATGCGTCTTCAGTCTTCAAACACAATCTTGTATCAAGGTCGACTCGGGGATCTGTATGGGCAGGCAGTTCCTGGTGAGAAGACCCCAAAGGCACATGGATGAGCATCGCGCCTGAAGCCACGGGGGTGTTCCAGTGGATGGAGAAGACGCATGACTTAAGGTGAGGTTTGCCATTTCTATTTATTTACTGTCCAGTGAGGTGAAAGGAAGCCCCACCTCAGCTCTCCTGGAAGCTCTCCTGAGGGGTCCAGAGGGACCTCCGTCCGGGGACACCCCTGCCTCTGGAGCTGGGGAGACCCGTGGGAAGGCCCTCCCATCAGGAGCACTCCCAGGGGAGCTCCTTGGAGGCCTGTCCTGGAGACTAGGAGCAGAAGAGAGCCGTCTGTCCGGCACTGTCCTGGCCCAGTTACTGGGAGGCCGAGCTGGACTGGCCTCTCCAGGGTGCCTCATTGTTCCTTCTCTGTTTTCATCCAGGGTTCCCGGGAGGGCTGGGGCTCGGAGTGTGTCTCACACGGCACACTCAGGAGGACACAGGTCCACTTCTAGCAACAGCGATTGTGGTTTTCCCTGTAAGAGTCCTTATTTAAAGCTGAAGGCCACAGTGAGAAGAGTGAGGGTGCAGTCAGAGGAGATCCAGTGGACGTTTTGTTCTGTGACTGGTTTAAATGGCCACGGGTGCTCTCTCCTCGCAGGCTGTGTATCTCAGAGGGAAAAAATGCGTTGTGAGTTGGTCTGTGGAGTGCGTCAGTGCTTTGGTCTTGTGTAGAAACACATTTAAGATGTGACCGGGATTGCAGGCGTGATCCGGCGGCGGAGGGCTGCTGGCCCCCGAGGGTGGCAGGTGGCTGGGCTATGCAGGGTGCTGATTTGCTGTCAGGAAGGACTGTTGTCACAGAGGAATGATTGCTTTACCTACACGGTACAGGGTGGCAGGTTGAATTGGAGCAAAAAGTGTCACTATTTGGGCAAGTAATCATCATGCAACCTGAAAAAATGGAAGACTCAGAAGTATTTTAGGGCCATATGGTAGGCTAACTCCTTGGTGCACTTATTTAGAAATCAATTCCATTTTAAAGCAGAAAAGCCTCATTAAGTGAATGTATTAGCTTTCCCTTTCCACACATGTTCCCACCACATGAGGTGATGTGAAGAAGACTCTCCCAAGGCAGGGAAGCCGGTGTGCTGGCTGAGTGGCCACGTCACCCAGGGGCAGCGGGGTTTTCACAGAGCTCCCCGGCCGGCCAGCGCAGGCCTGCTGCAGAGCTTGAGGACCGTGAGGCACTCCACAGAGAGGCCAGGGTTTCCCCTGGGCTTTCTTTCTTTTTTGACCCTCTGATGGAAATTCAGCATCTTCACGTACTAATTGGGCCTCCGTAAGATGTACCATCAACGCTATTTTAAAGGAGAAGATTAATATGTAGTTGTAGATTCTGGAATCATTTAAAGTGCTGTTTGGAAATCTGACCCCACGTAAGTCAGATGTGCTCAGAAAATGATAACAATGAAAATAATAACAATGATGACAACAATAAATGTTAAAAATGGAAATAGGCACATCACGATTATAGCTTGGCATTAGCCGTTGTTAAAGGAGGGAGACTTTTACGAAAGGCATTTCTTTCCATTCAAGTACAACCTGAGCATTTAACCAGAAGAAAATGCCACTGAAAACGGAATAAATGGCTTCAGTTTGCCCAGGTTATTTCTAAACAGTAATGCAAAGATGTAATAGAAATAATTTAGACATATGGATGAGAACCTTCACGATCAATAGCGCGGGAAGTGTTCTGAGGAGCATATGTTGTTGCAATCAGACAGAATTGAATTTCATACAAACGCTGGCAAATCCATATCAGATTATCACAGCAAAAACTTCATTTCCATTGATTTATAATGTATTATTATTGTTTCCACCAAACTGCCATAGACAGCCGTTTAGCAGCTGCCAAGTGCCTTAAGGGTAAATAAAGGACATCGCTGGCGGGGTGGGTGATAGACGCCTGAGAGCCCATAACTCACCGGTGGCGGCAGGTGTGACGCTCCGCCACCTTTACTTGTTCCTCTTAATTGCGTTGGGTAATTTTTGAGACTTTTGGTGAGCGTGGGGGGCAGTTCCTGAGTGAACACACTCAAGAATCAAGGAAGAAGGAAGGAACGCGCTAACATTCGAACACTAGCAGGACTGAGGCTTGGCAGGCTGTCACGCCCGCGCCTCGTCTGTGTCTGTACCTGTGCCCCTGTCCACCAGCTCGCACACCTATCCCTGGCCTCTCTGTGCAACAGGGAAGATGCACTTCCACCAGGATGGCTCTCTGAGCTCTGCTCCCGGGGGCCTCTCTGGACTCTGCGTCCCCACACCTTCCTTCCGAGTGTCAGGCCACGTCTACCTTCTGTGGGGACGGAGTGTTCTTCCTCCCAGTTGCTGCTTTCCTGGACATTGTCACTACAGGGGACGACTTTCCAGCGTAGTCTAAGTGGTCACACCTGCTCTTTTGAGAAGGGAGTCGGCGAACCATTATTCTACCCAGAGAATTATCAGAAATAAGTTGAAACAAAGTTAGAGGTAATGAACCAGGTTAGCAGTTTTAAGCTTTTAGCTTATGGCTAAAGGAATAAACTAGAAATGTGGGTGTCAATTTTATTCTTTTACCGAGAGTAAATTTTTATCTAAAAGTAAAATAAAGGCATTGTGCCGACGAGTCTTGAAGGGTGTGCTGGCTCCCCGTGGCCTCTCTGTGCGGCCGGCTCTACCTGTCCTTGGGGTCACCAGGCTGACTCACCTGCCTCCTCCCCACTGGCAGCTTCTGCTTCTTCCTGTACATGCTCCATTTCAAAATGTGGT